ATGCAGCAGCAGCTGGACTTGCGGGTGCTGGGCGCCTCCGCTCTCAGCAAGCGCATGGCCGCGGGCTACGAGCGGCTACTGTGACGGGCGGTGGGGCAGCACCCAGGCTTGGAGCACCTTGCGGGAGGAGGCGCGTTGACCAGCATTCGGCGGATCCTCCACCGCAAGAGGATGAGCAAACAGGCGGCCAAGGAGATGAGCTCGGCCAAGAATGCGCTGGTGGGCTGCTTGTGGCCCGTTGCCAGAAGGTTCGCTGAGGACAGGCCGCTGGCATCATCCTCGCGGTGTCCCAGGGGATGCCCAGCGCATGGCACGGTGCGGCACCTTGCATGGCAGTGCCCTGCGACCGAGCTTGGTCGCGCAGAGTGGACGGCAAGCGAGGGCGCCGACGAGAGGCGGCTGCCCGACGACATCCACTTCGGCACCATCGTCGCGATGGCAAGCCTCGGCGGCGACGAGGACCCGCCTTGTCCCGAGCGCTGGCCCCAGATCATAGCCGCTCCCTCCCGCTGCCCACCCATTGCAGGGAGGCGCGCAAAGAGGGACGCCCAGACTTGGCGGGGCAGCCGCTCGCGGGCGACCTGTTCACGGATGGCAGCGTCCTGGACCCGACCCTCGTGTCAGCCCAAGGTGGGTGGGCGGTGGTCGTGATGGGGCCCGACGCCGAGGCGGCCAGCCTCTTCGGACCGCTGCCCTGGCCATGCCCGCAGGAGTCGGGCGCAGCAGAGCTCGCAGCGGCCATCGAGGTCATCCAGGGCTGCCTCCCCCCCTGTGCGCATCTTCACCGACTGCCAGCAGCTCGTGGAGGGCTTCGCTGCGGGCAAGGCGTGGTGCCTGCAGTGGCAGCGTCCCTACCGCGGGCTGTGGGCAAGGTTCTGGGACGCCATCGACGACGTCGGCATCGACAGCGTCTCCATCCATAAGGAGAAGGCCCACGCGACGCTGGCGGACGCGCAGGCGGAGCGTATCACGGCGTGGCAGCGCAGGGGCAATTATTGCGCAGATGCGCGAGCCGTGCAAGGGGCGCGGATGCATCCGAATGGCGAGGTTGTACGCGTTCGGAGCCGCCGCCAGGATCGGCTCGTGCAAAAGGTCTTTCGCTGGCTGGTTGTACGCGTTCGGAGCCGCCGCCAGGACCGGCTCGTGCAAAAGGTCTTTCGCTGGCTGGGGGCAGCGATGCAGGAGGGCGACGGCGAGCTGACTGCCGGGGACGGCCACGATGGGCTCGGTCTCGCAGCCGTGCGTTACGATTGGCAGGGTTGCAAGATGCGGTGGCGCAGCCACTGCAATTTCCCAGATTGCCCACGTCGGACGTGCGGGCGACGCGGCACGCGGCTCGAAGTCGGCACCGACACCCTCTGGGCATGTCAGGAGTGCGCTGGCCGAGGCGATGCGATCGCAGGCTCATGGACATCGGGTGCAGGGGGTGGCTCGGGCTCGGCAGCGGCTGGCGCGGCGCTGCTCGCGGCGTGCGCGGCGGTGTTCTCCAGCCAGGCCAACGGCGCGCAGGGGTCAGACGGCGGCGGCGCGGGACCTGCAGATGGTGGCGGCGGCAGGGCTGCTGGCAGCGGCGGCGCGGCGCGGGCGCCTCCCGCGCCTCTCGCCCCTCCGCTGGCGAAGGCCGTGGCGACGCCGCCGCCCCAGCCGCCGCCTTGGCGGGGGTTCGACGCGCACGACTCCCACGACCTCTGGCGCGCAGGGGACCACCTCTTCTGCGTCAAGTGCGGCTACTGGACCCAGGGTCGGAGGATGGCGGGCCTCGCGGTGGTGTGCCCGAAGGCCCCCAAGAACGACAGGCAGAAGGCGGTGCTCAGCCGCCTCAATCGAGGCCTGCAGCCAGCGGGCGCTGGAGGCATCGGCGACCCTGAACCTCTTCGGCGTATGCGGAGGCGCCTGGGCGGCGGCTAGCCTAGCGGCCCTGTTATAGAGGCGCCTCAGCATCCTGTCCGCCCATGACGGGCGCCCGCTGTCTGCTCGGGCTAGCTCGGTGCCCTGTGCATGGCTGTCGCTCGAGCGGAAGCTGATCCAGGTGCGTAGGTTCGCCCGCGCACGGGATCGGGCTCCGCGCCAGGGGGTGCAACCTGTCTGCGTTGTGGCCTCGCGCCAGAGGACGTGTTGCGGCCCATGGCGAGTCCTGCTCTACTGGCGCACCCGTTTAATGTAGCTGCTGGCGCGCTTTGGCGCGTCGGCCCGCGCAGAGGGAAAGGCCCTGTCTGCTCGGGCTTGCTCGGTGCTCTGTGCACGGCCGCTCGGGCGGAAGCTGAACCAGGTGCGTAGGTTCGCCCGCGCACGGGATCGGGCTCCGCGCCAAGGGGGCAACCTGTCCGCGTTATGGCCTCGCGCCAGAGGACGTGTTGCGGCCCGTGGCGGGTCTGCGCCAGTGGCGCATCCGTTTAATGTAGCTGCTGGCGCGCTTTGGCGCGTCGGCCCGCGCAGTTGCTGCGCCCCAGCCCGCCCTGTGCTCTGCGCCGCCAGCCGCAGGCCGAACGATGGTGGTAGGCTCACCGACTGCCATGTTCGCCTCCGAAGGCCACCGCAGTGCAAGCCGTCCCTGCGTGTGTCTGGGGCAGGGGACGGTCCCCTGGGACCTTTGCACTGTTGTGGCACTTCGAGCCGCTGCGTGCTGAGTCGCCGTGAATGCTGCATGCCCTGCCCACCGCCTGCCTTTGGCTGGGGCGGTGGGCGTGGCCTCTGGCTTTCAGGTGAGTCTGCGAGTGTGCCTGTGGCACGGGTCGGTCCTTGCGACCGCTGCGCCAGAGGGAAAGGCCCTGGCCTCAGAAGGCTGTATCGAGCGGGGAGCTCCAGACCTTCTCAGACGCAGGGATCATCATCATCATCATCATCATCATCATCATCAGCATCATCATCCTCATCCCCATCCTCATCCTCATCCTCATCATCCCACCTTGTCGCTTCTTGGGGTACCCAGGTCGTGCCACGCGGCTCCTCGTCACGCAGCCTGACCGTTGCGGGTAACCCAGCGGGAAATTGGGTGTCGTTTGGCTCCCGTGTGGAAGCGGGGGTGGTCAATAGCGAGGTAGGTTTTTCTGCCTCCCTCTCTTGGCCGAGTGGAGGAATCACAGCGGCACCAGGATACGCGTTCGGGGGGTCGCGTGGTTTTCTCGGATCGGCGATGGGTCGGGCGTTTCGATGCGGGGGGGGGCGGTCAATGAGGGGGGGGCGATAGAGGGTTGCAGGAGGAGGGCCCCCCTGAGGACTCAAAGGGCTGAAGGAGAAAAGGCCTCAAAAGGTCGCAGGAGAACGGCCCCAAAGGAGAAGGTCCTCAAAGGGTTGCGGGAGAAGGGGCCTCGGCAGGAGGCCCCGGCGACGCTCCACTGGGCCCCCCTGGCGGCGCCTCTGGCGCCGCCACTGGCGTGCTCCGCGCGCCAGAGACGGGGGTCCAGCCCCGACCCGAAAAGTGCGCGCGGACCTATGACGATGTTGGTGCTTGTGCCGTGGTTTCCTCTCCTGTCCTGATCCCTGCGCTTGTCGCCCTGGGCGCTGCTGGGCCTGCCTGCCGTGGCTGCTGGGCCCACTTTGATCCGATCGGCCCGACTCGGCATGGGCTCTGGCCGGCCCGATCCGTCTTCATCTCCGATCCCCCGACGATGCGACTTGGTCGTTCTGGCGGCGTCGCGAGCGTAAGCAAAGAAATTCGAAGAGCCGATGCTGCCCCATGCTTGCGTGGCACTGCTGGTGTCGGCTACCTCTGCGGGCCAGAGCGGCCTGATTCGGTGCACGCTTCGCGCCGATCCGAATAGTATGATTAATTCAGTGCTGATCGTTCCCGCCGTTAAGGTCTTGCTTCCAGGGGCCCTATGTCGGGGCCGGCCAAGGGGGCCCATATCGGGGTGATGTCCAGGGGGCCCCTCGTGGCTGCCCCCGAACCAGAGCACGGTAGGTTCGTTCAGGGACCGCAGCGGCGGTCCCTGGCGCGGGCGCGCGAGGCTGCTTCCAGGGGCCCCAGGGCACGGTAGGTCCGTGCAGAGTCGACGCGGCGGCGGCGGCCCCGTCTCGGGCGCTCGAGCTTGCGCACCCAAGGAGCACGGGGTTTTTAGGAGTCCCCTCGACTCGTCCATCTCCGTCCCGCTAGCTAAGAGAAGGGATGGAGGAGGAAGGAGGAGGAAGAGGAGGAGGAGGAGGAGGAGGAAGAGGAGGAGGGAGGAGAAAGGAGGAACAGGAAGGATAAGGAAGGAGGAGGAAGGAGGAGAGGGGTTCGGAGATCCCTCTCTGCGCTCCCATCCCCTCCGCATCCCCAGACTTCCGACGTCGTGTTTTTTGTTCGCGGTGCCCACCTGGGGGCCTGCGCCCCTCTCAGGGGCCCGTGTTTCTCCCGAGCTGTATTTTGACAGTCTTGGGGGTCAGCAAGGGCCCCCGGAAGCCGAACCTGGCCAACCATTCCCTTTCATGCCCTAATGATTGACGCTTCGCGTATCCCCACCAGTGTTTTCGTGAGCCGCCTGATCCGCGGCTTCGCGCGCGTTAGGTAATTTAGTCGCGTCCGCGGCCCGTTCGCGACCTCCCGCCGCTGGCGCTTCCGCCTGCGGTTATATATATATATATATATATATATATGTATACACATATATATATATATATATGTATCCCCACCAGTCCATCCTGATGAGGGATTGGTAGCAGCAGGCAGTCTGGCTATGAAAGCCCCTTGGAGGAATCTTGGGGCCACTGTCGGGCCCTATTGTGCGCCCTTGGCCTGGGGCCTGGGGGGCCATGTTGGGTCCAGTTTCGAGGCCAACGCCAAGCAGTGCCAAGGTCCTCCCGTCTCAGGGGGCGTATCGCCCCCCAATCGCCCACTCATCGCCCAAAGGGGCCCGATAGGCCAGCCCCGCCCAGGACCGTACGGTTTCGCTATCGGGGGCTTCCCGCCGATCTATCGACAAGGTATCGCCGATTACATATAGATGTTTCCCCCCTGAGCCGGTCCCCACCCTGACGTTTCTGCTCACCTCCAGTCTCCCGGTCTAGTCCCTTCGTTCGAGGTGTGCTCCTTTACGAGATGCTGTGCGGGCGCCCGCCTTTCACCGACCCCAACCAAAAGAAGGCCATGGACCGTATCACGCAGGCCGCCGCCTCTGTTGTGGGGTGCACTGCTCGTCCGAGGAGCAGCAGGAGGAGCATGAGCAGGAGGAGAAGGAGGAGCAGCAGGAGCAGGAGCAGGAGCAGGAGCAGGAGCAGGAGGAAGAGGAAGAGGAAGAGGAAGCTGAAGAAGAGGACGGGGAGGACGAAGATGAGGGGAAGGAGGAGGAGGAGGAGGATGCTGAGGAGGAGGAGGAAGACTAGGTTCTGGAACACTTCGTAGTATTAGTGGTTCTAGTGGGGGGAGGAGGAGGAAGAGGAGGAGGAAGATGAGTTTGAGCCTGAAGGATCCCAGAAGGGGCCGTCTGCGGCAAGGCAGGATTGATCCCTCCGCCAGGCCCCCCTTACCTTCGGGGCCCCCGAGATGGGACTCGGGAGAGAGGCCTCGGTCAATCGGTCAACCCCGTCCTCCCTGGCGGGCCGGGCTCCTCCCTTGTACAGAGGGCGTCTGTGGAGTGCCACCCTCGACCCTGGATCCACGGGCGGCCTGCAGCAAAGTGAGGCTCCTGCCAGCCGCGGCGGCCCCCAGAGCCCTGGGCCCTCCGCGAAGGGGCTCGTACCATTGCCCCCGCGCTCTCATGGCCACGCTTCGGTGGGTGGTGCTTGGGGGGGGCGACCTCGCCCAGCAGAGCACTGCCGCTCGCCATGAATGAAATGTGGCTTCCTCCTCCTGCTCCTCCTCCTCCTCCTCCTCAGTCGACTAGCTCGTGCAGCTACTGCCGCCACCGCCGCCGTCGTTCGTCAGTCGCTGCGGTCGGTCGTCTGTCGTCCTCGTCGTCGCCGTCGCCATTCGTCGCCGACGTCGTGTCCGTGGCTGCCGCCCCCGCCTCCGCCCCAGCCTCCGCCTCCTCCGCCCCCTCCTCCTCCTCCTCGTCCTCCTCCTCTGTCCCCTCCCCTCCCCCTGGGGCAGGTTCTTTGTCCTGATTCGTTGTCTGACTGACGGTCCCGGGGCTGGTGGAGGGCCCTGGAGGCCCCCAGGGCAACGAGCAACATCCGAGGACCCTCTTCCCTCTTCCTACAAGAGCTGCTTCCCCCATGCCAGCCAGAGAGCCGGCAACGGTGGCAGTTCAACACAAGAACAGGCCCGCCACCGCAGCCAGCCTCCGCGGGTGCCCCTCGCGGGCCCGAGGTCGACCTCAGGTTTGGGGAGTCCACGCCGGTGCTGGCCATGGACCTCATGCGGGGCCTGCTGAAGCGGGAGCCTGACGCGCGCCTCACATTGGAGGCGCTACCGCCGCCGCCACCGCCGCCGCAGGCGGTCACCCCGAATCACCACCGACTGACCGCCCGGTGTGGTGACGACACCGTGTGGTGAGTCGGTGGTGATTCGGGGTGGCCGCACGGTTTTGACACGGGGCCTCCAGGCCCCCAAGACCGTGCGGTGACGGTCCGTGCGGTAAGGACTTCGGGCACTTCGAGGTCCACGGTCCGTCACCGCACCGTTTTGGAACCCCGAGCGGGGAATGGGGTGGTCGGGGGCGGCCCTGCGGACCCCTAGCAAACTGGCCACTTCTGTGACGACTCCCCGGCCTCGCTCTAAGACGTGGGCAGGCGGCTCTAACAGGCGAGCCTCGAGGGTGATCGAAGGCGACGAAGGGGCGAATAGCCCAAATAGCCCAGGCGTTGGCATTGTTCGTACTCCTGCGGGGGTCTCGCCGAAGACATGGGCCACCTGGCGCCCCTGCGTACATACGTTGCTCCCGCCATGGGCTGTTCGCCTCCTGTCGTCGACTCTTCGAGAGTGAGGAGGCCGTCAAGGAAGGGATTCGGGGATTCGTCATGGAAGGGATCGGTTTGGCCGCATCAGGGGTGGGGGTGGCACTCCTGCGGCCGCGGCCAGAGAAGAGTTCAATGAACCCAGCGCGAACCCAACTAGGGGAAAGCTTTCTGTTGCATTGGCGCGTTGCTCAGCGTTGATGTTGTTGCTCGGCAATGGTTTGCGTTGCCTGGTATTGCTTGGTATTTTTTGGCGTTGCTTGGTATTGCTTGGTGTTGCTAGGCGGTGCTTGGCGTTGCTTGGCGTTGCTTAGCGATTCTTGGCGATGCTTCGCGTTACTGGGCATTGCCAGGAAGTCCAAGCAACCCGGGGAATGCAGTGAGCAACTAAGACCAATCAACCTGGGGAATGCAGTAAGGAACATTTGCCAAGCAACCCAAGGAATGCAGTAAGAAACAAGACTTGGCAACCCGGGGCAATGCCACAGTAAGAAGAACACAAACAGACAATTCCGGGCAACGCCACAGTACGGAAGCTAGGCCAAGCAACCTCGAGGATCTCAGTGCAAGGAAACAGGACCACGCAACCCCAGGGAACCATGGCGCGACCGCGTCTGGTACCCAGTGGTGTCTCCACAAGCAAGTCAGACCCCCTAGGCGAAGCCCAATTGGGCAAATATTGTCCTCACGAGCGGCGGGCATGTCCATATGTCCACCGCCTCGCGGTTTACACGCTCCGCTCGGGGCATTCGCGCAAGGCCGCCTTGGTTCATGGGGCCGCGGCCAAGGAGTCCAGACCGCGAGGCCGTGACCAAAGATATGTATCTCGCCAGCGGTAGCTTGGCGAAACATAGTCCCTTTCATCATGCTCTGATGGTCTCGGCCAGGCAGGTGGATTCATCACAGCGTTGCCAACTCGAACCGATACGAAGCATACCTTCTGAGGGGGCGGAGGCTCGGGCGTTCCTACGGTGTCGACGCGGTCCAGCCCCTCGTCGGGAGGCGAGGGGAGGGATGGATGGTTTACGTCCTTTCTTCGACGATCTATCACGTAAGTTGTTTCGAACCCGTGTCGTATATCCCATGCAGGTTCGACGTAGATCCGGCGCGTATTCGACGCGGATTCGGTGTGGATTCGGTGCGGATTTGACGTCGACGTGGATTCAAGGTGGAATCGCCACAGGTAGCGACGCGATGAGCCAACCCAGGCACCCGGCACCCGCCAGCCCAGTCTTCAAGCGCGGGGGCCCCCAGACGGCGTGCTGACCACACCGTGTGGTGAGTCACTAGCGGTTCGGGATCACCGCGCGATTCGTGTGTTTGTGGCGTTCTCCGAGAAGGTCGCGGGCGAGTGGGGCCTCCAGGGTCCCAGAACCGTGCGGGGACGGACCGTGCGGTGAGGCTTTTGGGGGTGTCGAGGTCACGCCGGCTGGGTACTTCCAAAAGCCTCTGGAGCGAAGTACGGACGCACGCGCGGACAAGTCCACCAGGGTTCCGAGAACGCAGTACGCGAGCGTTCGTGACATGAGGGCGGCCTCGAGAATTGGCGGCACACGCACGTGCGTGCCTGGGCGGGTGTGTCCCTTCAATTGGGTTTCCTGCAGCCGCGTCCCCCCTGGCACCTTTGGATTGGGGGGGGCAGTCTCAGGGGGGACGCATAGGACCTTCAGCCCCTGTTCATCGTCGATAGGGCCCCCATGGTCCACCCGGTCCAGGAACGCGCGCCTTCGCGCTTCGCGCGTCGCGGCCTGGACTGGCGAGCTGCCCTTGTCCAGGAGGTGCGGAGCGAGAGCGCGCGGATGCGGAGTGAACCGCGCGTCGCGCCTCTCGGGCCGCGATGCGTGAAGCTTTAGGTGACCTTGGATCCCGCCCCCCTGTCGTCCCCCCTCGCTGGACGGCAAGCCTTGCTAGGACGACCAGGACGACGATCTCGGCGGCGGCAGTGGCGGTGGTGGCTCCGAGGCTTGCGGCGGCGGCGGCGGCGGCAGCGTCGGTGGCGACGGCGGCAGCGGCGGGCCACATGCGGCGCTGGTGGCGGCGACGGAGGCGACGGCGGCGGAAGCGGCGGCGGCGGCGACGGGGCGTGCGGCGGATGCGGCCGCGGCGGCGGCGTTGTTCGTTCTGCGACGGCGACGGCGAAGGGCGGCGCCTGGCGGCGGCGACGGCCAGAACTCTGCGGCGCGCGCGGCCGCCCCAGGACGCGATCCGCCAGCCCTGGGCCCGGCCCCCGGCCGGCGCCCACGCGCTCGCCGTGCCCCTTCCCCCCCGCCGTTGGCGACGAGGCGGCGGAGGGAGGGGGGAATGAAGAAGGGAAGGAGGGAGGGAAGGAGGGAGGTGGGAGGTGGGCGAGGAGTAGGAGTAGGAGAAGGAAGAAGAGGAGACCGAGGCAGTGAAGGGGAGGGAGGATGGATGGGGGGAGCGATGGAGGGAGCGGGAGGAAGGGGGAATGAGGGAGGGAGGAGATGAGACAGGGAGGGAGGGAGAGAAGGAGGGGAGAAGGCGGATGAGGAGGAGGTGGATGAGGACAGGAGGAGGGGGGAGAAAGGGAGAGGAGGGGAGAAGTGCCAGGGTGGAGACAGGACGCAGGTCGAGGAAGAGGGAAGGAGTTGGAGGGGGAGAGGAAAAGAGAAGGAGGGATGTCGGATGGAGCAGGAGGAGGAGAGCAACGTTGTAGAGGGTAGGAAGGATGAGGATGAGGACGATGATGATGAGGACGATGATGATGAGGACGATGATGATGAGGACGATGATGATGATGATGCTGCTAATGAGAATGATGACGACGATGACGATGATGATGATGATGCTGATTGTGGTGATGATGAGGATGTTGATGATGTTGATGATGATGATGATGATGTTGATGATGACGATTATGATGCTGATGATGATGCTGCTGTTGCTGCTGCTGATGATGCTGATGATGATGGTGATGATGATGGTGATGGTGATGATGATGCTGATGATGATGATGGTGGTGATGATGATGCTGATGATGATGATGCTGATGCTGATGATGATGCTGATGATGATGATGATGCTGATGATGATGATGGGAAGAGGATGAGGAGACAGAGGTGGAGTCAAGGGTGGCGGTGAGATGGAGGAGGCGGACGAGGGAGGAGGATGATAAGGACGGCAATCGCGCGGAAGATGGGTATCATGAGGAGACGGGGGAGGATGAGGGAACATGAGGAGGACGATGTGGAACATGACGAGAAGGAGGGGGGGACGTCGATGACGACGGGAAGGAAGGCCAGCAGTTGGAGGGGTAGTGGAGGATGATTAGGAGGAGGCAGTTGACCAGTGCAATTCCAAGACGCGTCAACGATGTTACAATATGCCCTCCTTCCAACTTCCCTGTTCATAGGGAGGTCCCGGTACCTACAGCAATGACTTATCCGTGTGGGAAGCGCCATATTTGAAAACAACCGTCCGAGAACTCTTAACCGTGCCGAATCACAGTTTCTGGGACTTCAACGCCGCGAATCAACGTGCCTGTTGCGTCCTGAGAAAGAGCGTGTTCTACCGTTGCTGGTAGAAAACCGGGGGGGACCCGTCCCCCCCCTTCTCGAAAACCGTGGGGGGGGGGGGTCACTGGGCACACTGGGGGTTCCAACCCCCCCCTCCCCCCCCACGGTCCATCATGAAAAGGGGGGGGCGTTCGATCCCCCCCCCTCCTGAAAAACCGTGGAAGGTCACTACCGGTTCGAACCCCCCCCTCGCGGCAACGACTCCCCCTCCTCTCCCTCTCCTGATGGAGGACTGGTGGGGGCAGTGGTTGGGACGGTGGTGGGGATGGTGGTGGGGAGTGGGGTCAGTGGGAAGATTGGGACCGTGGTTGTGCGACAGTGGTGGGGGCACTGGCGGGGATAGTGGGGACAGTGGTTGGGACTGTGGGGACAGTGGGACAGTGGTGGGGACAACAGGGACAGTTGGACAGTGGTGGGGAGGGTGGTGGTGGGGACAACAGTGGGACAGTGGTGGCGACGGTGGTGGTGGGGACAGTGGTGAGGGCGGTGGTTAGGACGGTGGTGGGACAGTGGTACAGTGGGGAGAGTAGTGGGGACAATGGGGACAGTGTGACAGTGGTGGGGACAGTTTGGACAGTGGGGCAGCACAGTGGGACAGCGGTGGGGACTGGGAACAGTGGCACAGTCGCGGGGACAGTTGGGACAGTGGTGGGGACAGTGGGGACAGTTCGGCAGTGGTGGGGGCACTGGTGGGGAAAGCGGGAACAGTGGTGGGAACAGTGGTGGGAACAGTGGTGGGAACAGTGGTGGGAACAGTGGTGGGAACATTGGTGGGAACAGTGGGACAGTGGTGGGGACAGTTGGGACGGTGGGACAGTGGTGGGGACGGGGGACGGTGGTGGTGGGGACAGTCGCGGGGGGACACTGGGACAGTGGTGGGGATAGTGGGATAGCGGTGGGGACGGCGGTGGTGGGGACAGTGGTGAGGGCGGTGGTGAAGACGGTGGTGGGGACCTGGGAGTCTGTTGCTGGCGGCGGGGAGGGGGTTCGAGCCGGTAGTGACCCCCCCCCAAGTTTTTTGGAGGGGGGGGAGGGGTTCGAACTGGTAGTGATCCCCCCAGGTTTTCCAGAGAAGGGCGGGGGGGGAGGGAGTTAGGGGGTGGGGGGTGCCAGGGGAGGGGGGGGAAGGGACAGGGGGGTGGTTCGAGCAGGGGGGGGGGCGGATTTGCGGAGGGGGGGGACCCCCGGGTTCCGGAGGAAGAGGGGGGTGATTTTTCTATAGTATATTGGCGGTGGATCACGCTCTCTCCATCTTGGGTCGGGCCAAAGCACCGTTTCTAGGACTTCAATACCAAGAATCAATATGATTGCCGCATCCTGATAATCCTAAGCCGTGCCAGAGTACCATTCGTGGGACTTCAACCATGCGAATCCCTGAACCGATTGCAAACCTTCAGAACGAATGTGCGCTGCGCGTCGGCAAGAACCAGATTTTGAAACGGAGCCGCCCTCCATATGTGAAGCTGCTGCATACTTTTAAGACGAAGGTTATGGTCGCCAAGGCGGGAGCCACATCTTGAAACCTACCCGCCTTCCATCGTTGGAGTTGTTGCAAAGGAAGTCTCTGGCGAAGCGCCCGGGCCGCCCTGCTAACACGTTTGGGGGTGCGACAGGGAGGAGTTGTGTATGAGGAAACGGAGTGCAGGATGAGGAGGAGGAGGAGGCGGAGGAGGAGGAGGACGAAGAGGAAGAGAGGGGGATGATGTTGATGATGTTGAGGAGGAGGATGAGGAGGAGGAGGAGGAGGGGGGATACGAGGGTCTGGGATGATGACGGTGATGAGGGTGATGAGGATGAGGATGATGAGTATGATGCCGATGTTGATGATGTTGATGCTGATGATGCTGATGATGATGATGGTGGTGATGATGGTGATGATGATGATGATGCTGATGCTGATGCTGATGCTGATGCTGATGCTGATGATGATGATGATGATGATGATGATGATGATGACGATGGTGATGGTGATGGTGATGGTGATGGTGATGGTGATGGTGATGGTGATAATGATGATGAGGAGGAGGAGGAAGTGGAGGGAGAGGGCTTTGGCGAGGGGAGACGGAGGTGGAGGGAGAGGCAGCTTGGCTGGAGGGGATGAGAAAGTAGGACGGGAGTTCTGGGAATTCGGCCAGTAGCAGCTGTCTTTTTCACAGAGTGCCTACTAGCTTCTGTACTCCTCTGCGTCGAATGGGGACAGGTGGGGAAGGCAGCCGTTTTTGCAGTGATACGCGATCGCGCTACCTACGTATCCGATTGCTGAGGTGCGCCAGTTCATCCCGGACGCCCAGATCGACGGCCGGTCTTCCATTGAGGTCCGAACGTGAACCCAGACATCCAGCGGCCCGATTTCATCGAGACGCTGGCCTCCGTGCCTCTCGACCCTTGTCCCCAGGCCTGTTTTCCTAATGAGCCGTGCTTTGACGTTCTCGGGCGATAAACGGGCCTCCAGAGGCCCGATTGGCGTACGATTGGCAGTCTCGAATTTTTCGGGCCGCTGAACTTATCGGCGCTCACGTACTGGCGGCTGGCGTGCCGATTGGCGGCGACCCCGCCGCCGGCGTTCAACGTGGAGCGCCGCGGGCGACCCAGAATCGGTGGATGCTGAACATTCTGACCTTTCGAAAACGGCCGATCGTCCAAGGTTGAACGATAGACGCGGTGCCAGAAACCAACACCAAAGTCGGCACGGCAGGAACCTGTTGTACTGGGTTTCAGCGCGAACACGGTTCAGCCGATCCCTTCTGGCAGTCTCGGGTGAGGGAGCCACGTGGGGCGTTCCAGAAAGGGCCTTGCTTTCGAGGATCGAAGGAGTTGCCATCCCTTCCGCGGCGTAGGGTGGCAGAAGGTCGGCGGAAGGCGGCGGAAGGCGGCGGAAGTCAAACGGCGGTGGCTCCGCCAGCGGAAGCCGGCGGAAGCTCGGCGGAAGTTTGCGAGAGCAACAGAAGTCGACCTTCCGAGAGATGACCATATTTTTGGGTTCCCGATTTCTGGAATCGGCCATCTGGGGCCGACCACCCCTTCTCCCCCTCCGCCGACCAGTGTCTGGGAGCTACTGTGTGGCCTGCTAGGACCTTTGTCACGGGGCCTCTGCCAGCCCGGGCTAGCTCTGACCCACCTGTCCGCGCGTCCCCGATCTTGGCCAGCGCAGCCAGGCAGGCCCAGGATGAGGACGAATCGCTCCAGAGAGTTTCCCAGAACGCTCCCCGAGCTCTCGGGAGCGCTCCCGAGGACGGCCGCGGCGAGCGAGGCCCCCCCGCCGGCTCTCAGAGCTTCCCGACGTATCCTCATCCGATCTTGCCTCGTCCTGCCCTCGCCTTGCGCTGAGCGCAGGGCGTGCGCGCGCCTGTCGTGCGGGCGCGAGCCGACGTGGGGGGCGGAGTCGGCTCTGGGCCGCCGCCGTTCACGGCAGGGAGCCTGCAGGAGCTCTCTCGCCTCCTCGGCGTGGCAGCGGGACCGCCTCCCTTTCGTCCACCTCGTCTTCCTCGTCCTCCTCTCGAGGTCGATCTGCCACGGGCTTGTCCCTTGAACCCGCGTTCATTTCCTCCTTCATGTTGCTTCCTTCTAGAGAGGACCTCCCTGTCGTACCCCGAGAATGGTCGAAATGGTGGGCTGGGCGTTTCGCCTGAGACTTCCTTATCATTTATGATCTTGTAGCTAAAAAATTGGCAATCGTTTCACAGATGGAGGGCGGGCAGCTTTCAGAATGTGGCTCTCGCTTTAGCGCCGCGCACATTCGTTTTAAAGCGTTTTAAAGCTTCCAGGAGTTTCGCGGATTGAGGGCGGGCAGTTTTCAAAATGTGATTCTCGCTTTAGCGCCGCGCATATTCGTCTCAAACATTTGCGAGAGTTTCGCGGGTCGAGGGTTGTTCCGTTTCAACATGTGGTTCTCGCCGCAACGTCGCGCACATTCGTCTTGAGCAGTTGCAAGAGTTTCGCGGATTCAGAAGTTCACGTTCCAGACATGGCGTTCCGGTGCGATTCAGGATCGTCAAGACGCAACAGTTAGGCTGATTCGCGGCGTTGGAGTCCCGAGAATGGTGTTTTGGCAGGCTTGAGGATCTTCAACCGATTGTCTCCCAATGGGGCACTTTTCTCAGTGGAACTGAATCCTTGTACGGGCCTATGAAGAGGGAGCTTGGAGGGAGGGTTGATTCCAACATCGTTGATGAAACTTGGATCTACTTTGGTCCTCCTCTCCTCCTCCCTCCTCCTCGGGTCTCCGGACTCACTCTGGACTCAGGACTGACGGCATCAGAGTTCATCGAACGCGGCCCACCCCATCGTTTTCTTTCTTTCCCTCCACCTCCTCCTTTTCCTCCTCCTCCTCCCTCGCTGCGGCTCTCCATGACGACCACTGGAGCTCCGAGATTGGCGCATCCAAGTTCTGCCAGCGAGGATGCACCACTTCTCTGCGACGGGGTCTCATCGAATGGCACGCCATCTGCTCTCTTTTTGTCACGACGCACGCCTCCTTCGTCGGCAGTGTGCATCATCCCAGAAGTCGACGCAAATGGTCGACCTGGCTCGTGGCTCGCGGAACTCCAGGTCCTTGGTCGTCGAGGTCTCTGTGGTGCGCGGCCCAGCAGACGCCGTCTTCCGGACGCATTTCTCGGGAGGTAAATGTTGCATCGGCGCTGGAATATCCGTAATCGAAAACCAGCTCAATCTGGTGAATTCCGCCTAATCCCGCTTAGTGCAGCTTATCCCCGCTTAACCTGGCACAGGTCCGAGCTCAGTCTGGTCTTATTTGGCTCAGTGGCCGGTCGTTTTTGCGAAGGCCTTCCAGGATGTTTCATCGCTTCAGTCTCAGATTCTCTACGCTCATCTCGAGGTCTGTTGATTTCGTTTCGGAGATTTGCGGTCGTTGCTGGAGGTCCTCGTCGCGATGGTGCGGCGCGGCACGGGAAGCCAGCCAGGACGGACCTTTGGAGGGATCGGGGGACCAATTCTGAGCCAGTGTGCACTGGGATGGGCCCACGAGAGCCACGAAGAAGGGTTCTCTATCTATGTAGGCCAAGTGCGCGCAGGCACCCCAGGGAAGAACATCTGGGGCGGGACCTGGACCCCGCTCCCGGCATCTGAATCTGCGCCCGCCTGCGATGCTCACCCGTGTGGATACAGTGGCAACCCATGCCAAGAAACACCCTTCTTGCCTCTAGGGTGCCCTTTGTTTCTTGGGCTTCGATGGTTTCGCGATGGAACCCTTGATGTTCGCACACCAAAAACCAATGCACGTCCTTGTTGGGTTGGGTTCGGTTTCTTGTGGAAGATGTCTTGTAGACTGGCCTCCACAAAACAACAATCGACGTCGGGGCACCGGACACCCCAGCTTGTGCTCACGTTCGCTGCAGACCTCCCTCGAAACCGGAGCCCCAGCTGGGGGTTCGGCAGTCCGACCTGCAGGCTAATAAGGGAGCTCGCGTGAAGTTGCCTCCTTACCTCCCTCTGTCGGGCGTCGCCTCCTGCGCCGTCGCCAGCGCCGTTCCCAGCACGCTCCGGGTTATGGGGGCACGCCTGAGACCGGGGCTTGCGGAGGGAACAAGCTAGGCAGTCGGATGCCCAGTACGGTCACGTATGGTTTTCGCAGCTCTCCGTGGCCATTGCTTTCTGCACTGTTGTGCATTACCTGGCCGTCTCATCGAAATGGCCACACGCCTAAATATTTCCTTGGTTGTTTCTTCTTGTGCCATGCCGCGCAAGCGGTCGTACATATATTGTGGGGTGAGTCTGTCGCTGGCGGCACGATCCGTTTCCGATTCGATCCAATTTCGCGACTCGATCCAGCGCAGGCCAGCTTGGGATCGGCGACTCAAAGATGGGCTTTTAGGGAAGAGGCACCTGAGGACGAGGGGCCCCAAGCAATGCAGACCCAATATTTGATCCCTCCCTGCTCTCAGGGCCCCATCCCCTCAGCCCAGATCCCTGACATCATGCTTTTGCACAACGTGGACCCCCCGGAGGTCTCGACCCCTTCTCTGGGACCCGCCTCTCATCCCGAGTCGTTTTCTGACGGCCTTTGGGCCCGGCAAGGGCAACCAGAAGCCGAACTTAGCAGAGAACAGTTGCCGTCGCGATTAATCGCACGACGTCGAGGGGGTCTGGTTCCCTCAGGACCCCATCTTTATACCGCCGATGGGACGCCCCGAGTAGCCCGCGATGGATCCGAGAACATCCGTGGCGAACGTCGCGCCAGAACCTTCGACCCTATCTTTCTGGGACATTTTCAGAGCGGGATCGTTCTGTGATGGCCCCAGGGCCCGAAGCAAGGCAAACGCGCCCGCTGGGAAAACATGTCCGAGTCTCAAGGTACGTTTCACATGCTTGAACTTATGTTTTTCCTTCGTACAGTGGAGACCCATGCCAAGAAACGCCCTGCGTGCCTACAGGGTGCCCTGTGTTTCTTGGGTTTCAATAGTTTGTGCCATGGAGAGCGTGACGTTCCCACACCAAAAATCAATGGACCTCCTAGGGTCTCAGGGTTGGGTTTCTTGTGGAAGGATTCTTGTGGACTGGTCTCCACTGTACGGCCACCACGCCATTCCCTCATGGGCACGGCCGAGCGGAGGAAGGCGTGGATCGGGGCGTGCCCGGCGGCGCGTTTGCGGACGCGCCGGGCAGCGCGTCGGTGGACGCACCACGGGGCCAGCTTGGCGCAGAGTGGCCGTGGCGTCTGCCCGAGCGGGCTGGTCTGTTCGGGCGTTGTTTTCAACTCGGGCGTGTCCCTCTGCGGGAGGAATGAGAATAGTGAAGCATTCGTCAGGGGACGAACTTTCGATTATGCTTTGATTATTTAATCGCTTAGCTCATTCCGCCTGCCCATATTGCCTCGCCGCTGTCTTTCGTCGGGGTGTTGTTGTCAATACGGTGCCGTTTGGCGGCTGCCATTTTTCGGAGGCGGTGGATGGTGGGTCAGAGGCCTCATGGATGTTGGTTGGGCTCTTGTGGTTGGCCTCTCGGGGGCCTGTGGGAGGCTGTTTTGAAGCCTCTTGGGGGCCGTGTCGGGGCCTCTTGGGGCCTCTTGGGGGCCTCTTGGGGCTTCCTGGGGTGCCTCTTGGGGGCTCGTTGGGGCCTCTTGGGGCCCCTTGGGGCCTCCTGGGGGCCCCTTGGGGCTGAAGGCTTGACTGTTCGGTTCGTGATCCCTGTCTTGGGTCCCCTTGGGGCCGTTTTGGGGCCGTCTTGGGCCATCTTGCGCGCCTCTTGGGCTGTCTTGGGGCCATCTTGGGTTGGGTCCAACTTGGGCCGTCGTGGGGCCCTCTTGGGCTCTCTTTGGCTCATCCTGGGGGCGTGTTGGGCCGTCTTGGGACGATGTTGGAGGCTTCTGGGGCAGTTCTGGACGCTGTGACCCACAAAACGTCGCACATGCGAAGAACGTACGTTTTCCAAAGGGAATGGGGCGTTTTTTTGCCTGTTGGAGCCCTCTTGGAGGGCCTCTTGAGGCTTTCTTGGGGTTTCTTCGCGGCTTTTGAAGCATCTGGAGGCCATCTTGAGTGTCTTGGAGCGGTCTTTCGGCGACTAGGGGCCTCTTGGGCCATGTAGGGGGCGTCCCGGGGCCTTCTTGGCGCGCTCTGGAGCGCCCTGGGGGAGTCAGCTGGCATCGTCCAGGCATCGCCTGGGCATCGCCCGGGCATCGGCCAGGGTATTTTTCGTCCAGGGGGCCCCAGGGGCCGCCACGCGCGCGCGAACTAGAAATATAGCGTTAACCTCTTACCGGAGATCGTAGCACGCCTTTGGCCCGTTTGGCCGGCGAATTCTTGGCAATGCTTTGACTATCTTTTGTTTTCTTTCCAAGTCCCGCCTGTAGGAGAACATGCCCGACCCAAGCGTGGTTGGTCCTCGTCCTCCTCCGGGCCGGGCTCCCCAGCGGAGCGCGCACGGCTCCTGCGTTCTTTGAGATCCGACGCTGCGAACAAGAATGCAGCATTGCGACAAATCACGACCGGAGCCCTAGACCCCATCTTTAAAATCATTTGTTTGCTGCAATTTTCGAACTGCATCGATCTGTGATGGCCCCTGGGCCCGACACTTGGCGAACGCACGCCTGGATCTCAGGGTTCGTTCCTTCGCTGGCTCTGGGCGCGGCCCGCGCCAGGTCGCTGGCAGCCTCCCGGACAGGCCCTGCCGGCCTTCGACTGGGCCGCCGTCCATTGCCGAGGCCGGCAGGGTGGGCGGGGCCGCCAGGGCCTCTCGGGCACCTCACTGGGCCTCAGGACCATCGAATAAACGGCTCGTGATGAAACGCCGCTGGCGGGGACGGCGTCGAGAAGTCGGGGTCGCGGTTCGAGAAAATCGAGAGGCCAGATGTCTAAAGATTCGGGCTGCGCGCGGACAGCCCCCCCTCCCCCCCCCAGATAGTCCTGGCTGGCCTCCACAGGCCCCCCGACCTTTCGATCCGGGCGTAGATTTTTTGTCACAGCGGGCGATGTTGTCTTGTTTCGGGCTTCGGGATTATTCTAGATGTGATCGGTTTTGAACATGTAGCAGAAAGATGGCGTCTGGGGCTCCAGGCGTAATTTCTGCGCGATGTTGCAATTGTTGTGCAACGTCGGATCTCAGGGGAGGTGAGTCCCAGCTGGCCTCCGCAGGCCCACCGAGTAGCGAGGGACCAGGAGGAGGAGGAGGAGGAGCAGGAGGAGGAGGAGGAGGAGGGTGTTGTATTCGACACTTGAGCCAGCAGCGTCAGCGTCAGGCTGAGGTGTGCGGTAGATGCGTGTCTTGCCGACTCGGAGGCGGCCCTGGCGCGGGCTCTCAAGTTTGATGGCCGCCAGTGGCCCAGAACTGAGCGACATCGAGCGATCCGCGCTGTCGGAGTGCTGCGATCGCTCGGTCTTGAACGATGCACGCGCTGCCAGAAGCCAACCCGCAAGTGGTCCCAACGCGAACCTGCTACGGAAGCGGGTCCCGAAACGGGCCCAGGGCCCCAGAGGTTCGCCCTGGGGCCAGCTCCCTTGTGACGGTCGTGGGCCCAGCCCAGGGAGGGCCCTGGGGGCCTTCGAACGAAGAAACACTTCCAGGACTTCTTTTCCCCCTAAGGGCCCATCTCCTTCACGGCGAGAGGAGGAGGAGGCAGAGGAGGCGCTGGCGGTGTGGGAATAGGCGCAGTGCTACAACCCATGGCTCGAATTGACCGTGCCGCGTGCCCTGCCACCGAAGACCATTCGTCCTGCTTCTCCTTTCTTCTCGTCCTCCTCCCTCCTCCCCCCCAACCCTCCCCATCTCTCCTCCTCCGCCTCCTTCTCCCTGTGCAGGAGGTTGAGCAGGACGGCCCTGCCAGCGCAGGTCGTCGTCGGAGTCCGAGTCGGAGTCGGAGTCGGAGTTGTCGTCATCGTCGTCGTCGTCGTCTTCTCGGGGGTCTCCAAACGGTGCGGTGACCACACCGTGTGGTGAGTCAGTGGGGACTTGGGGTTCATTACCGAACGGTCCCTGGGACTCGGGTCGCGCCCCGAGGATGTCTCGGGCGGCTCGGGCCTCCAAAAGGTCCCAAGAACCTGCGGCGGCGGACCGTGCTGTGAGGACGGTCTCTTTTTTGATCCCGAGGTCACCGCACGGTCTGTCGCCGCAACGTCTTGGGGACCCCCAATCGTAGCGCCCCGCTTCGGTTGTTGCCAGAGGTGTCCGTGGCACACGGTGGCCCTGGGATCTCCCAGGAGGCCCCCCGCGGCCTCCGGAGCACCCCTCGCGAGGCGCCCCAGGGGCTCCAGAGTGGAGCGAAAAGTTGCGGCCTCCTTGGGCCAGGGAGACTCGTAGCGCCCCGTGACACCTCGTGGCGCAGACCGCCGACGTCACGATTCATATTCGCAGCGTCGACCCCCATGGGTCTCGACCCATTCCCACGCCCAGTGTTTCACCCCGCGCAGTTTTAAGTCGGTCTTGGGGTTTCAGGTTTGTTTTTGGGTTTTATAGCACCCTCGCAGCAGCGAAGGTGCAGAGGCGGCGAGGTGTAATTAGGAGATCGGCGAGTAAAAACACACACTCCTTGGTATTCCTAAGGGTTCCTAGGAAGTACACGGTCATGTGCACACTAGCGTATGTTTTACCAGGGATCGTGGCCGCCATGATCAAACATATAGCCGGCATGGATGTGAGAGCACGATTTTTGTATACATTATGAGGAAGTTTCAGAGTCGCAGGCGAGTCGGCTGCCGTACTGGGCGGTCGAGAGCTCCGATTTCCCCGAGTGGGACTCTTCGGTGTCTCTTTTTTCCCCTCCGCTGGAATCATCTAGCGAAACATTATTCAGGAATGCTGCTATTCTTGTCACGACGCCAGGCGGTCCATGTTTTAGGACCTCCGATTGTGCCCCCCCCCGCCTCTGGAGCCGCCGTTCTTTGCTTTGCTCTCCGATTCGAATTTGCACCTCAAGCGATGCGAAAAGTAGAGCGGCAATGTAGGCATCATAACAAAGCAGGACGGATACTTCTACACAGGTATGCCAGAAACAGCAACGGCAAAGTAGGGCGGACATCGACATCACAGGAACCTGACACAAGTAGGGTGGGGTTCCCGTCTTTACCTGCGACATCGCCCAGAAAGGACGGCGGATCCAGCGTTAGGGTCCCCCTCCTGAACGGCGGTCTCTTTCCAAACTTTGGCAAGTTGCATTGCGTGGAAGAGGAGGAGGAGGAGGAGGAGGAGGAGGAGGAAGAGGAGGAGGAGGAGGAGGAGGAGGAGACGGAGGAGGGAGGAGGGAGCAGGGAGGAGGATGAGGGGGGTGGGTGGAAGGCGTGGCGAGGCCTTAAAGTGGCGCAGCGTGGCGTGGCAAATCGGGACTCGCTTGCGCGCCTTTTCGGCCCAGCGTTGCTCGATACGGCGGCGGATAGGGGGTGGGGGGTTGGAGGGGGTGGGGATGTCTTGCAATTGCAAGGAAAGGAGGCGGGGTGCGGAGGAGGGGGGGAATGCCATCCAAAGTCTGAGAAACTTGCCTGAGTCTGAAAGGAAGAGCCCTCCCTGGCCCCTCAAGGGGGGGGGATGCCGCGCAAGTAAACTTGCCAGAGTCTGAGAGGAAGAGCCCTCTGTATACGACCCCCCTCCTGGAGGCGCCGCCGCCGGCCGCGCCGGAGCCCTCGCCCGGCACCACCGTGGACGCCGCGCAGGATGCGGAGCAGGACGGGCGCGCGCCGCCGGCCGTGGCCCCCCCGTGGGCGCTCTCTCTCGCGTGGGGCCTTGAGGCGTTTGCTCCTGGTCGTGCCGCGCCCTGCTCCCGCCATCTCTCAGGTTCCTCCTCCTGCCTTCTTTGTTGTTGTTGTTGTTGTTGTTGTTGTTGTTGTTGTTGTTGTTGTTGTTGAACATTATTTATTCTAAAGAATAATTATTGTTGGGACCCCTGGTGCGCGGCCCCCTCGCCGCGCCTAGGCCGCAGCCACATTTTCATCATTTTCGTGAGGAAGTCTCAGGCAAAACGTGGGTGTCCGGATCCGGTTGTTTTGTTGTCCCCCGTTTTCCCTTGCAAAAAATAAGCTAAAGTGGACATTTCTTGTTCTAACATAACCAAACTTCAAGAATCCCTTGCAAAAAATAAGGTAAAGTGGACATTCGCGCGCGCAAGACGAAATCCTTCCAAAACCTTAGTGTTCGTAGCGATTTCAACATAAAAACATCAAAAAACCAATGGTTTTTCAAAAAAAAGTGTCAAAATTTCATCCCGCGCGCTCTTGCGGATTTGTCGGAAACCCAACACTTTTTAAACATTTCTGTCAAATGGGCTTTTCCGAGCAACTTGTTCACGTGCTTCGAACTTCTCCAACAACCGTTGCGCACCTGCCAGGGTCATCATCCCTGTCAAATGATACCATGCGGGACACATTCGTTTTTTCTTTGCGCGCGCACGCCGAAATCTTCAAAAACCATTGGGTTTCGTAGGAATTTTAGCACCGCGCAACATAACATCATACGAATCGCACCGTGGGACCTCGAAAATCGTCGTCGGCATGTTACCACAACAAGTCCGTGTGTCACCACGTCATCGAACAAAATCACTGATCACTGTCACATCCGTAGCCATCTCGGATCAAGGTATCGCCTGTGTTCTTGGATGGGTCATGGCTTTGTCGGCGAAAGCCCTTGACGAGCAGTATGGCCCAGAGCTGTCGCGGCCTCCTTGGCCGACTGCGGCAGCCCGTATTATTTGCATCAGGCGCTCGTTGCAAAGGGTATCCAGGTCAGTCACCAGGCGTGCAAGCTTTGGTGGTGCAAGTATCGGGTTGTGCCTGGCACGGTCAGTATTTCTAGCGCCAAGGAGCTGGAGGAGCAGCACGGCTCTGCCATCCGCCACCTGGGCATCCAGTATAATACAGCTTTCAAATTATGCGGGGCGCTCCGACAGTTGGATCCACCACTGTATGTGTCAGATAAGGTCGCAACGACGTGGCTACTGCAGTATTCTTCCAAAGAGACGCTTGTCAAAGTGCAGAACGCTGGCCATCTGGAGACCTGGTATGGAGAACGTATTCGCACAGACATGCCCGAGGGGACTACTGACGGGGCCGTCTTGAAGCAGTGGCTCCTGGGACATTTATCTGTATCTGCTGACGCCAGGGTATGCCAGAAGTGGCTCAGCACGGAGTGGGGCGCCAAGGGAGCATTGAATACTGCCCAAGCTGTGGAGGAATGTATAGGCCAGCGTCTTCGACTCAATCAGTATCGGGAGAGCTTCGCCGACGAGGCCGCCGCGGAGGTCCTCTCGCAGCTTCTCTCGGAGAGCGATCCTCCCGTCGCTGTCAGCGGTATGGTTTTGAGGCAATGGTACGTGAAGTATCACCCTGACTCCGGACCTTTGCAGTATGACACGGCTGAAAAGCTCGACGCGGCACTTGGTGACCACATGCGCGCGGTATATCCAGGGCTGAAGTACCACGCGTTGCATGCCGCGTTGCGCATGCGACGGAAAGCTGTCTTGGTGTCCCGAGGAGTTTTGAGACAGTGGTGCGATGTGTATGCGTCGGTGAGCTCCTCAGTGCAGGCGGCGGCTTCATCCGCCCAGGCCGTCACCAAGCGTGTATTGAAGCGCCCGGCGGCACAGGTCGCAGGCGGGGTATTGAAACGGCCAGCCGCCACCGGATCTGTCCCCGTGGGCAAACGGCCTGCCGCGGTCGACTGGGAGGAGCCCGTATCGAAGCAGCAGGCCACGGCAGCTTCTTCCTGGGCAGGGAGTATGACACTGGCTCAAGGTTCAGGAGAGACAAAAGTACCACTACCACCAGCTAGGGGGGTGGCCGCTCCATCTTCGAGCTGGTGGCACCTCCTTCCGGGTATGCCTCCAGAGAGTGCCCGGAACGAGGTGCCACCAGCTCGAGGGGAAGGCGCGGCCACCCCCCTAGCTGGTGGTAGCGGTACTTTTGTCTCTCCTGAAAGGTGCTGCGCGAGACCACGTGGTTCGCGACTGCTGTGTACTTTCCGTGTATGTGGCAGGGACTCACGGGTGTATGCCTCTGCCTCTCGACGCCGGAGAGTACGCGCCAGTCCAAGGAGAACGGTGTGGTCGAGAACCAGCGCCGTGTGGGAGGCATCCAGACCCCAGAGTGGATGGCGTTCGCGGTATACTTCTACCCTGGCTCGGTATTCGGCAACTTTTCTGGTTTTGCAGATTCAGCCGCGAAGTATCTGGGCACACTTTCGGAAGTATTCCATCGGCTGTGCACCCAAGCCGGCATAGCGAACTGGAGATCGCACGTCTTCGTCGGGCACGGCGGCTGGGTGTATGCTGGCTTGCGCAGGCTGTTGCAGCTCCTGCGTATTCACGTGCATTCCGAGGTGGTATCAGGTCTGTCATACAGGCGCATGGCGAGCCTGGATGTATTTGTGGCAACACACACGGGATCCATGGGTATGGAGCCGCCATCTATGGCTCTGTGGAATGCCTCCGACGACGTCAAGGATGGTATCACCTATTTCCCGAAGCAGGACCATTGGTGGCACATGCCAGTATGGCGTTCTTTCGGGCAGTCCGAGTGTGGGAATGTCATGGATTACCAGGTGGATCTGGGCATGCCGGCGCATGTCCAGGGCGTCCTGGCGGCATTGGCGCCCCACGCACGCGCGGGCGATGTATCCGCGAGGAGGCGCATCGGCGCAATGCTTGGACACTTGGCCCCTGATGTATTGCTGCCAGGAGCGCAGCTTGCAGTATTGCGCCCGATGCGTGCCATTAGAGACAGGCGTACGCCAGAAGATGATGAGCACAAAGACTCGTCTCTTTAGTATGTCTCCAGAGCACGTATGTGTCCAGAGCCGCCGCGCCTTGTCCTGCTCCTCCTCCTCCTCCTCCTCCTCCGGCGGGGGGCGCGAGGATCCGGCATCGCTGACAACCATCGGGACAACCATCGGGACCACCATCGGAACAACCATCGGGACAACCGTGGGGACAACCGTCGGGACAGCGATCGGGACAACCGCAACCATCAGGACAACCATCGGGACAACCATCGGGACAACCATCGGGACGACGATCGGGGCAACCATCGGGACAACCATCGGGAGAACCGTCGGAACAACAATCGGGACAATCATCGGGACAATCATCGCGACAATCATCGGGACAACCACAACCATCAGGACCTCCAACCAGAGAGAGCTAGTCACGTGTATTTCGTAGACGAATGAGCCAGCATTGCACATTGAGGCCGGAACGACAACCACAGAACAAGAATGAGCATATAACAACAACGGAAACAAGTCCTGTGGTATGCTGGCGCCACGCACGTGGCACCACTCAAAATAATATTTGCTTGTGTGGCACAGAAACGGAAAAACGTCGGAAAACGGTACAGGTGTCCAGTGTTGGAACAGGGGGATAAGTCGTATACTAAGCTAGCTTCCACAAGATGTTACCACAACAAGTCATTGTACCCATGCGCCAGTGTAGTAGCCAAGGTCGTCCGCAGGCCACGAAGTGAAGTGTCCGAACGTCATAGGGCGGGAAGCTGGGTGTGGGTGGTTGCGAAGAGTCGTCCTAAACTTGGTAGAGCTTGAACCGGCCCCCCCACAGTGGGGGCATTGCCCGCCTCCTATGAAAACCCTGGCACTGGTGAGAACGGAGTGTCCCCAGTCTTAAATGATTGTTGTTGTTGTTGTTGTTGCGCTCTCTCTCTCTCTCTCTCTGGGCCTCCCAGATGGGGTCAGAGTCTACGGGTCGAAGGCTCGCTCCGTATCGACGATGCGGCCCGATGTGGCGCCCGCTGTTCTCCACGCCGACGTCGCCGGCGCATCACCGACGTCGCCGATGTATCGCCGATGCATCGGCGATGCATCGGCGATGCGGCGCGTTCTTCCGAGCTCCTCTACCCCGACCCGATATGGGAGGCCTCTCGTCCCTCTCTCTCTCTCCCTCTCCCTCTCTCTCTCTTTCTCTCCCTCTCCCTCTCTCTCTCCCCCTCTTCCCGAATAACAAGCAACATTGCGTAAACATATTTTCTCGGAGCTCTGCGCGGATCTCTTGGATCGGCGTTTCGGGGTTATTTGGCGGCGCCTCCGGCGCCCCCTGGCGCGCCAGGAAAAGGAGTCCAGCGCTGATCCAAGAAATCCGCGCGGACCTCGAAAGTCTATGTTCATTATATTGCTAGTTCCTCGGCATATCCTGCCCCACTTTCCTTCTTACGGGGTCAACGTTAGGGGGTATAGTTTGAGGGGGGGATGCATCGATCCCTAATCGCCCAACGATCGCCAATAGACGATAGCCCATCCCGCCTAGGAACGTGCGGTTTCACTATCTGCAGCATATGGCCGATCTATCGCCGATTCCAGTTTGATGTTTCCCCCCCCTGGGCTGGCCCCCCCCCATCGTTCTCCCTCGCTCCTCCTGCGCTCTCTCTCTCTCTCTCTCTCTCTCTCTCTCTCTCTCTCTCTCTA